ACACGCCTGTAGTCCCAGCTACTCTGGAGGCTGAGGTAGGAAAATCACTTGAACCAGGGAGGCAGAGGTTGCAGTGAGAGAAGATCGTGCCACAGCATTCCAGCCTGGGAGAGTGAGAAAAAAAAAAAGAAAAAAAACAGGTGGCTTGGGTTGAGCAGGCAGCAATACAACCCCTTCCCCAGTCAACCCCAGCGAGTGAGCAGCCCTGCTCCTGTTTTCCATATTCGGCTTCCAGGCACAAATCTAAACAGAAGGTCCCTTGACTTAAGAGAAAGAAACAACAACAACAAAAAACACTGAAAAACCACATAGCGTTGGTTAAACACACAAGCCCTGGCGTCACAAAGCCCAGGTGCAAAGCCCACCTTTGCCACTCACCCCCTGAACCTATTTCCTCATCCACAAACTGCCCCCTCTGTAGGGACGCCGTGAGGGTCGCGGGAGCTCATCCACGCAACACACAGTGCCTGGTCCATTTCAAGAGCTCAGGAAACGCCAGCTCCCGGCCTCCTCAGGCTTCCAGAGCCAGGCTCCAGGGAAGCCGCAGGCAGTTATACAGTTTAGGAAGGTCTTAGAGGACATCTAGGAAGTTTGACCTAGTCAAGGGTCAAAAATCCAAAAGCTAACAACAGCCAGGCAGGTAACATAAGTGAAGAAAGTAGGCCAGGTGTGAGGCCAATCTGGAGAGAGACAAGGAAAATATTTCACTTTCCTCTTAACTTCGCAAACAAACAAAAATAACCACATGGCATCAGCCCAATAATAAATGTAACAAGCCTGCAGCCAAGTCCTGGGGACTGTGGTGAAAAGAGCTGCGTCCCATCCATTCAGATCCAGCCATCTGTTGCCATCCAGAAATGAGGACCCAGCATTGTTAGACTGATGGTTGTTTTTTTTTTTTTTTCAAGAGAAGCCAGAAATCTAGATTCTAGACTTTAATGTGAAAATCTGGTTTTTAAAGGCTAGTGACCCATTCTTGTTTTTTTTAAGAAAACAATGCCTCAACAGAAAATGTCAAGTTAGGGTGGGACGGGGGCTGCCCACGTGTGGTCCCTGACATACATGCTCTTTTTTTTTTTTTTTTTTTTTTTTGAGATGGAGTCTCACTCTGTCGCCCAGGCTGGAGTACAGTGGCGCAATCTCGGCTCACTGAAACCTTCGCCTCCTGGGTTCAAGCAGTTCTCCTGCCTCAGCCTCCTGAGTAGCTGGGACTACAGGTGTGCACCACCACGCCCAGCTAATTTTTTTTGTATTTTTAGTAGAGATAGGGTTTCGCCATGTTGGCCAGGCCGGTGATCCTGACCTCAGGTGATCCACCTGCCTCGGCCTCCCAAAGTGCTGGGATTACAGGCATGAGCCACCACGCCCAGCCAATGCTCCTGAAGGTCCTCTGCAACCCTGAGGGTTTGGAGAACCATCAGACAAGTTCTGTGCCAAGGTAAGAAGACTCTTCAAGATTCTCTCCAAAACTTCTTCCCAGCAGCACCGCAAGGAACTGCACAGCTGAGAGTCTTGGGAGACCCAGTTTCTCCTCTTCCTGCTCCTCCCAGGCCTCGTCGCCTGCAGATGGTCAACAAGGCAAAAGCAGAAGCAGAAAGAAGGGCAGGGGCGAGACCCCACACACGCCAGAGACAGAGCGGCAAGGAGCAGCGAAAGAAAGGTTTCATTTTCTTCTGTTTATTTCAAGAGAACAAAGAATCAACCATCAGTTCTGTACAAAAACATGGTGTGAGAGCCATGGGACCCTCGGCCCAGCCCCCTTCCTGCACTTGAGCCCCGGGCCCCCCTAATTTGCCAAAAAACCATGAGAAGACCAAAAAACTCAAACTCTGGGGGAAAAAATTACTATGAAAAAAAATCAGGGGAGACCTTCCTGGGCCTCCCTTTCTCCCTATCCCCAACCTAGAAATTTAGGGGGGGTTGCGGTTCATGGCCATAGCAGGAGGTGGGGCAGATGGGTGTCGGTAGATTTAGTGTTTGGCAACCAGTGGGGCTGGGGGTGGGATCTGGGAGGGAGCCGAGGGGCCTGGGGAAGGGAAAAGATCTTGGACCCTGCCCTGGCCCACAGGACACTCAAAAACACTTTATAAAAATTGGGGCCACAGAGTAGAAGAAAAACGAGTCATCAGAATCAAAAACTAAAGAGTGGAAAGATTTTTTTTTTTCTTCTCTAAAAGGCAAAAAACTACAAACAGCCCAAGTCCTGAGCTCCCCAAGACCTGGATCCTCCACTGTCCCCCTGAAACCCGGCAGGAGGCGGGATGGGGAGCGCGAGAGGTGGGTTCTTAAAAAAGTCACCCCTGGATGGGAAAGTTCTTCATCTTCTGCCGCCTTCCTCTGCCTCCCGCCGCTGCCGAGGAGAGAGATGGAGAGGACCGGGGCTATGCCGGCAAACTCAACTTCTTCCCCTTTAGGACTGTGAGGAGAGAAAACAGGGAGGACGTTACCGCCGGGACCCCTGCAGGGAGGGGACAGTCTCCCACAGCCAGAGCAGGGCAGGCACGCTAGATGGGCAGGTCCACAGGGAGGGAGGTCCCCAGGACTCACGAATACATTCCTGGTTTCTTTCTTTCCTGCCCCTTCTCGCTACTGGCAATTCTCTTTCTTTTTTTGAGACCGCATCCCACTCTATAGCCCAGGCTGGAATGCAGTGGTATAGTCACAGCTCCCTGCAGCCTTGACCTCCTCAAGCAATTCGCCCACCTCAGCCTCCCAAGGAGCTGAGACCACAGGCATGCACCACCATGCCCAGCTAATTTTTTAATGTTTTATTTGTTGTAGTGACAGGGTCTTGCTACGTTGCTCTGGAACTCCTAGGCTTAAGCACTTTCCCAAAGTGTTGGGATTACAGGCATGAGCCACTGTGCCTGGCCAATTCTCTATGTATTTTTTTTAAGGGTTTTTTTTTGTTTTGTTTTTCTGAGACAGGGTCTCACTCTGTCACCCAGGCAATCACAGCTCACTGCAGGCTTGAACTTCCCAGACTCAGGGGATCCTCCCACCTCAGCCTCCTGAGTAGCTGGAACCACAGGTGCACGCCACAACACCCAGCTAATTTTTCCATTTTTTTGTAGAGACAGGGACTCGCCACGTTGCCCAGGCTAGTCTCAAACTCCTGGGCTCAAGCCGTCCACCCGCCATGGCCTCTCAAAGTGCTGGGTTTATAGGCGTGAACCACCACACCCGATCGATTATTTCTCTTTACTTGTTCATTCACCATCTCCTCCACCAGAATAAAAGGGAAATAGAGGTCTTTGTCTGTCTTTTCTCCTCCTACTGTATCCCCAGAGCCTGGCACCTGGCTGGGGACACAGAAAGTACTCAATACGTTCGTTGAATGAATAAATGAACGAATCTCAGTGGGCTGAGTCCCTGCCCTGCCTGGCCTGCACTCCAAGTGACATGGGGGCTAAGGACAGAGGCTAACGGTCTGAATTCCTAGGAGGATGGTGGGCCTGCAACCCCAGAAACCAGGTGAAGAAACGCTCCCTCCTTTGCATAATACAGGGGTAAGGAGACAGACCCCAGGCCCCAGGCCCCAGGGAGGGCGGGAGCCGCAGAAATAGGAGGTTCCCGTCCAGCCGCCCCACATCCCGGCTACCTTTGGTGATATAGAGGTAGAAGAAATCGCAGTAGAGGACTGTCTGGACCAGGCCTGCCACGATGGCGATGAGGTCGAAGAAGCCCTCGAAATGGTAGCGCCAGATCCAGTTGAAGAGATAGAGCGTGCGGTAAACGCCCAGCGCAAACAAGTAGTGGCTGGTGATGGTCTCCGCCTCGCCAGTCTTGCTCACCATGAACAGCTGCGGCAAGATGGCCACCGACTCCAGGTAGATGGAGAAGGTCCAGAGGATCTGCAGAGAGACCAAGGACAGAATGAGGCGGGAGGGGACAGGGCGGGAGAGAAGGCAGAGGACGACATGGCAGTTACAGGTGCTGCGAAGGTGGAGAGAGAAGGAAGGTAGTCCAGGCGCTGCCACGTGCCACACACAGTTCTGCCTGAGTTACTGGTATCTCTGATTTAATCATCACCATGGCCCGGCGAGGAGATCCTATGATTAGCACACTTATTCTACAGATGAGGAAACTGACACCAGAGAAGGTAAGATACTCGCCCAAGACCATGTAGCCAGCAAGCAGCAGAGCAATGATTCGAACCAAGGATCCGCGGTCCGTCCTCATGAACACTTTGCACTCGAGCCTCTCTGAAAGGCAGGCTGGGCTGGAATCTTGCCTTGGAAATTTCCCTTCCTTTTTCTTCTTTTTGAGATGGAGTCTCACTCTGTCACCCAGGCTAGAGTGCAATGGTGCGATCTCGGCTCACTGCAACCTCTGCCTCCTGGGTTCAAGCGATTCTCCCGCCTCAGCCTCCTGAGTAGCTGGGATTACAGGCGCCTGCCACCACACCCAGCTAATTTTTGTATTTTCAGTAGAGACAGGGTTTCACCATGTTGGCCAGGCTGGTCTCGAACTCCTGACCTCAGGTGGTCTGCCCGCCTCGGCCTGCCAAAGTGCTGGGATTACAGGCGTGAGTCACTGCGCACGGCCCACATGCCATTTCCTGCGGCATGTTGCATATGCTGTTCCCGCAGCAGGAAAAGCTCTTCCCCACACTGTCACACATCTGCCTACTCCATATTCTCCCAGCCTCAGCTCATCAGTCACCTCCTGAGAGGGACCCTCCCTGGCCATCCTTCCCCCAGGACTGTCACACCATCTTATCTCCTTCCTGGCCACCCGCACCAGCAATTGAGCTCTGTGAAGGCTGGGATCCTACTTCTTGTTCACCCCGCGGCCGTAGCACCTAGTACAGTTCTTGAATGAGTGAGGAAATGGGAGCGAGCAGCTATAAAGGGGTCCCCATGTGCTCAGCACAGGCCACCATTTAGGGAGCAGTGACAACCATCATTCGTGAGCAGGACAGGACATCATGGGACAGGGGAGAAGACATCTGCCAGCCCCCTTTCAGTTCCCAGCTCCCTGAAAGTGCCACCTGGGGTGATGTGTGATCTGCAGACACACTGAAACCTCCCCTCAGAGTGCAAAGCCAGGTGGCAGGTGTGGCTCCTTGGCTGTCTTGGTTTGTGGGAGGAAGGCGGGGGCACCAGGACCTGTTCATAACAACTCCTGCTTTTCTAGCATTTACGACATCCAAGGCACCGCTCCTTAGGGTGTTCACTGGCCTGAGCCTTAACCCCATGAGGTAGGTACTGTTGTCATTCCCATTGTACAGATGAGGAAACTGAGGCCCAAGGGATAAGAAACATGTCCGGATTCCCACTGAGGCAGGTAGAGTCCAGGACCTGCTCCCAGAATCCTCCAGAATCCTCCAGAATCCTCCAGGGAGGCTCTCGTCAAGCCAAGTTAGTTGATGCTGCTGGGACACGAAACCATGAAATTCATGCCCATTCAACTCTTACCCCTGGGGTTGCCCTTAGGGAATAGAGTCATAGCTCAGGCAGAGATAGAAGGTCTGTTGCATTTTTTTTTTTTTTTTTCCTGAGGCGGAGTTTCGCCCTTGTCACCCAGGCCGGAGTGCAGTGGCGCAATCTTGGCTCACTGCAAACTTCCGCTTCGCGGGTTCAAATGATTCTCCTGCCTTAACCTCCCAAGTGCCTGGAATTACGGGCACTCACCACCACGCCCAGCTAATTTTTGTATTTTTTTTAGTAGAGACAGGGTTTCACCACATTGGCCAAGCTGGTCTTGAACTCCTCACCTCAAGTGATCAACCCATCTCAGCCTCCCAAAGTGCTGGGATTATAGGCGTGAGCCACTGCACCCAGCCTTACTGCATTTTTATCTATTCCATGATGTCAAATTTTTTATTTTTTTATTTTATTTTTTATTTTTTTGAGACGGTGTCTTGCTCTGTCACCCAGGCTGGAATGCAGTGATGCAATCTCAGCTCACTGCAACCTCTGCTGGCCAGGTTCAAGTGGTTCTCCTGCCTCAGCTTCCCGAGTAGCTGGGATTATAGGTGCGTGCCACCACACCCGGCTAATTTTTGTATTTTTAGTAGAGATGGGGTTTCAGCATCTTGGCCAGACTGGTCTTAACTCCTGACCTCGTGATCCATGATCCACCTGTCTCAGCCTCCCAAAGTTCTGGGATTACAGGCATGAGCCGCTGCACCCAGCCTGTCTGAATTTTTAAAGTATATTTTCCTTAGGCCAGGCATGGCAGTTCACACCTGTAATCCCAGCACTTTGGAAGGCTGAGGCAGGCGGATCACTTGAGGCCAGGAGTTCAAGACCACCCTGGACAACATGGCAAAACCGTCTCTCCTAAAAATACAAAAAAATTTTACCTGGGCATGGTGGCCGCTGCCTGTAATCCCAGCTACTCGGGATGCTGAGGCATGAGACTCTCTTGAACCCGGGAAGCAGAGGTTGCAGTGAGCTAAGATCATGCCACCCCACTCCAGTCTGGGCGACACAGCAAGGCTCAAAAAAAAAAAGAGGCCTGTGTTCTGGTCTGGCCTCCTCCACCTTTAGCAAGCCGCACTACCTCCCTCAGCCTCAGTCAGTCTCCCCATCCTCAAAATGGGTCTAGTAATCCCTAGTCAACAGGACAGTTATGAGCTAAGTCAAGGGCTTGGATAAGCGATCCAAGCAAGGTGATAACAATATATTTGCAAAGTCCAGGGTTCCCGCCACAGTATGATGCAGCTTCCCTCTGATATCTCTGACCCATGGGCCAAAGTCACCCTCTGTTGGATTTGTCTGGCCTGTACAGTGCTTTTAAAGCTATATTTTGAAGGCCAGGCACAGTGGCTCATGCCTATAGTCCTAGCACTTTGGGAAGCCGAGATGGGAGGATTGCTTAAGACCAGGAGTTTGAGACCAGCCTGGTCAACATGGCGAAACCCCATCTCTACTAAAAACACAAAAATTAGCCAAACATGGTGGCAAGCGTCTGTAATCCCAGCTACTCAGGAGGCTGAGGCAGGAGAAACACTTGACCTGGGAGGCGGGAGTTGCAGCGAGCCAAGATCACGCCACTGCACTCCAGCCTGGGCGACAGAGCGAGACTCCGTCTTGAAAAAAGAAAGAAAGAAAGCAAGAAAGCAAGATAGTTTGAATCTGTGGCTAAAATTTTAAAATGCGACATATTGCCTGAAAACTCCTGAATTATGGCTTCTGTTGAAAAGATCAGCACATCTGGCCACCCAGGCCTATCTTCCTATAAGGCAGGAGTGGGCATAGGTAAGAAAAGGTTGCCCTGAATTTATTATTCCTGCCAGGCCCCAGGACGCAAGAGATCGCAAACTTAGCATTGGTTCTCCCAAAATTCCTCCCAGGAGTTTGTACAGGTTCCAGCAAAAACACCATGGAATAAAAAAATCATAACAGCAAACATTTAAAAGTATGAGAGATGGGACTAAACACTTCAGTCACTGAACACTGACACGGCACTTCCTACCTCACCCCAGACACCGTGCTTTATTCATACCAACCTCTCATTTGAACCTGATGACACAGGAACTGATTATCTCCATTTTACAGATGAGGAAACTGAGGCACAGGGTAGTTATGTGATTTACCCAGAATCCCATAGCTGCTATGTGGTAGAGGCAGGATCCAAATCTTTACACTCTGATTCTAGAGTCTTTATGTGTTTTGACACCAGGCAATGCTGCAAAATCTCAGTAAAGTCTCACAATGACCTGATCACAACTTTAAAAATGTGGAAACCGAGGTACAGAAAGGCCAAGTCACATGCCCAGGATCATGCTAATAGAAACTAGCAGATTTGGGGCCAGGCGTGGTGGCTCATGCCTGAGGTCAAGAGTTCGAGACCAGCCTGGCCAATATGTTGAAACTCTGTCTCTACTAAAAATACAAAAATTATTCTGGCGTGGTGGTGGGCAAATCTGCAATCTCAGCTACTCAGGAGACTGAAGCAGGACAATCACTTGAACCTGGAAGGTGGAGGTTGCAGTGAGCCAGAATCGTGCCACTGCCTCCAGTCTAGGCAACCAAGCGAGACTGTTTCAGAAAAAAGAAAGAAAGAAAGAAAAAAAAAAGAAACTAGCAGATTTGGAATTCAAATTCAAGAAGGCTGGGCCAGGTGTAGTGGCTCACACCTATAATCCCAGCACTTTGGGAGGCCAAGACAGGCAGATTATTTGAGCCCAGGAGTTTGAGACCAGCCTGGTCAACATGCGAAACCCTGTCTCGACTAAAAATACAAAAATTAGCAGAGCATGGTGATGTGCACCTGTCTTCCCAACTACTCGGGAGGCTGAGGCAGGATAATTGCTTGAACCTGGGAGGCGGGGGTTGCAGTGAGCCGAGATCCTGCCACTGCACTTCAGCCTGGGCAACAGAGTGAGACTCTGTCTCCAAAAAAAAAAAAGGATCCCTAAGCCTCAGTTTCCTCATCTGTAAAATGGGGCTGCTGAGAAAGGTAAGTAGGTGAAATGCTTAGGGTAGCGACTGACACATAGTGAGTCTTGCTGCTGTTGTGTGAATCTCCTCTGACCCCACAGCCCATGCACTGAACTTATGCGTCCTAAAACAAGGCAGTTTGGGCATACCCTGCAGAAGGAAGCCTCACCGCTACTCTGCCACAACCATCCCCCCAAATAAGGAGTCACAGCAAGGCGCCTACCTCCAGAGGGGTGAAGTCATGATTGACCAGGAATGCCAGAATGGCTGTGGGAACGACCAGGAACTCCACTCTGAATGTGTCATGGTTCCCATCGTAAGTGGCTTTGAACTTGCTATAAATCAACCAGACCGTGGTGAAGGAGCAGGCTATGTAGACCACCTGAGGAGGAGGATGATGAAAAGGGGCCTCAACTCACAGGCCAGGGTCTGTGCCCCAGCAGGCTCAGACCCAGGAGTGCAGACCCCTCCCTCAGACCCAGGAGTGCAGGCCCCCAGCCCCTCCTCCCTCAGACCCAGGAGTGCAGGCCCCCAGCCCTCCTCCCTCAGACCCAG